AATAGATCAAAAAGGAGGAGAAATGTAGGGGTCTCCTTTCTTCTGTTAACCCAGAAGAACCCAGAAGGGCAAGTAATGAGTTACCATAAATTGCTCTTACCAAGGTAGGAGCCCTTTCCATACCTTTAGTGAGAGAAAACCTATGCATCACATAATCCCTGGGATACCCTCCCAGGACCCATAGGACCACAGTCTTAATTCTCCAATTTCAAATCCTGACCTGAAATATTAGTGCATGAGAAAGAGGATTGCTTTTAGCCTCCATGCTGACTTCTGTTCTTAATATAGTCACTCTAAGGTAAGAAACTAAAATTCAAGAGAAAGGTCTGTGGGGAAAAAATGCTGTCTGTCATTTCTCATGAAAACAGAACTTTCAAGAAAAAGGCATTTTCCTTAGACATATGTGAGCTATTCTACATAGCTCAAGACCTATTTTTCAAGGAAAAAAGTCTACCTTTTCAGTAGTAAAAAAAGACAGTAGCTCAACATAAGTAGGACAAAATCCTTGTCTTGGTATTTTAATTAATTAAGGATTAAAGCAAATTTTCTCTTTCCTACAGACAATTTTACAGTAAAAATATGTAAAACCAGTTATTAAATATACAACAGTTGAAAATTACACATTTCAAGTATGTAATCAACTTCATTTTATGAAACAATACATATTCAAAGCCTGGAATATGTGATAAACTTTTACAGCCTCTTGTACCATCAGCAAGCATCCTTCCATCATCACAGTACTATGATGAAAATTGAATGGGGGTCTCTGAATTATTCACTGGAAGACAAATACAGAAAATTAGCAAGGTTTTACTATGTACTAACCTTACATAGGTTTTATACCTAACTGGCTGCACATTTTCATGTTCTTTTAAGAGATGTAATTAGAGAGAGTAAAAGGAATTAGTTACCTAGTTTGAGTTCGAGTCCATTTCAAGGCATGACGTGGTGGTACAGAAACAGCAGGGTGGTAGAATGTGCAGTCGACTCTGGTACACTGTGTGTTAAACCTACAGTGCTAATAAGATAAATGAAAGGCTTTAAAAAGTGCTGGCAAGACTACAGTTTGGCTTCTTTTAATTTATTTAGTGTATGCTTTTTCTTTAAAAATTATGAAATCCCCCAATGGAATCACTCAAGCATAAATTTGAAAAATAAATAAATAACCTGAGCCAGCTGAACCTGAGCTGGAAAATTTCTGTGACTGTGGTTTTTTTAGAGTTAACTTCTAAGCCAGTTAAAAAATGCACATGATACAAACTCCTATTTTTTGTGACACTAATAGTGCATTCAACATGTGCAAGTCATCACTGAAGCTGCAGGAGCTAATATGCATATGGGTACTCTATCCTAGAGTTTAACACAAGATGGTATTACTAGAAGTACCAAAATGCTGAATTTTAAAAATATTATAAATTTTATTGTATGGGGAATGTATTGTCTTAAAGGAAGATGAAAGTTGGAAAATATTTATTTTTTGTTTTTACTGTAAACTGCTGAGTCACTTCCTAGTGAAATGGGTGGTAACCAAATTTTAAATAAATAAACAAACAAGCAAATAAATATCCTGTATAATACAACAGCAGAATACAAAATTAGAGAAGTCTTGCCTAGGGGGTTACAAGCTAACGTAAGTTGCTGTTGCTACGTTTGCCAGTTTTTCTAAACACAGACTACCATTTTGGTTTCCTGGTGCTAATTTCTACTTTACAGGTTCCAGTCTTCATTACCAAAATCCTGCATATCATATTACAATTTGTAAACTCAGATATTAATAAACAAACTAATATTTCATGTGCTCTTCTCTTTCCCATAATTAATACATAACTTTCCTCTCCCCACACATTGTTCTGTCTTATGGATCTCATGTCTTATGTGAAATATTGTCCATTTGTCTTCTGCATGGATCTTTCTTCCCTTCTCAAGTATCATCACCCATTTTTCCTCACCATCCCATCTACTTCTTCCAGATACACACACAGACACACACACACACACGTATATAAAGTCAGTACTAAATATACTATTTTATATAAAATGCACTGGGATCAAAATGAAATTTCTAAGAGTAAACAGCACATGCTTAAATTTCAGCCTACTTTTCCAAATTTTCTCTGCAGATAACTCAATCACTTACTTTGGGATGGTAGAAAGGACATTCCATTTTCTTACACGCAGGGAAAAAGCGGCAAAGCTGGCTGGTAGAAGATGCTGGTGGAGCTGGAGCTGAAACTGTTAAACCAATTAATAAAAAAAGAAACAGCTATTCCTAAGTCCAAAGGCTAATCTTTAATTAAAGAATTGCAAGTATTATCATATATATATGTAATTTTAACTGTCGGTTCCTACAATTCCCAGTGTAATAATTATGGGAAATCACACAGCTGAAGGTGATGAATCTGGACCTAGCCACTGGCAGAGTAGGAGGTAACTATGGAATTCAACAGGGACTGCTATGAATTCCAAAATGTAAGAAATACAGATTTCCTGCAAGTTTTAGGAATAAGTCATGAGAAAGAATGGCATGAATAATGCTGTGCCCGAGAGGAGGGGTCATAATGTTCTGTGCATATAGAGTGATTCTTGCTGGGGATTGAAGCTGGCCCTGTCACAGCTGGAGCAAATGAAGAAAGAGGGGTTCTCATTATTCCCTCTCCCCTTCCCTATTATCAGTATTTGACAAGCAAAGCACAGGAACTGGACCTGCATCCTCTACTCCTTTTGGCCACGCTAGATATGACCAGACAGCTCATAACCAACTGGAATTTAGTGGCTGTTCTTAGCCAGCAGTTTTATTTTGACAGTATGACCAGTAGTTATAATGATCTATGAGCCTTTGGATTCAATTGTGCTGTCACTGGCATATCCTAGCAAGCTCAATTTTTTTGAAATATTAAGAAAATCTTACCTTGTTTAGGAGGTGGTAGTGGTGCCCGTCGACTGGCATGAGTATAAGGGCAGTCTGGTTTGGTGCATTTGGCATCATATTTACAATTTGGATGGATGAATAAACACTTGTCAGCAAACTTGCAGCTTGGAAAGACTCTGAAATATAGAGGTAAAACAGTTATTATTCCTGCAGAATGAGCTTGCCAAGATGTACCCTTTCAAAAATGCTTATGTTTACTGACGCAGAATACAATTTTACATAGAGCATGAGAATTGGGTTTTCAGACTCAAGTTATAAAGAAAGCCAAGATCTCAGTGGGGATTTAAAAAAAAACCCTCAAGCTTCAAATATGTTTTATTAAAATTTGGCAGAAGTCCCTAAAACTAAAAAAAAAAAAAAATCAAAGTAACAGGAAACATACCCATGTGTAGAAGCTAAGCCAAAATGTATAGTTTGGTTGTTCTTTGTGTGTGTGTGTGTGGGAAATCTTCAAGTCGCAAATGGACCAAAAAAACCAAAAAGGCCCAAAGGGTTCCCAAGGATTTTGAATTTAAGTACCCAATTATATCACAAGGATCTTTACCAATGTGCAATTGTGCAATGTGCAAAAAACAAAAAAAAAAGAAAAAAGAAAAAAGAAAAAATAATTTTCACATTTCTGGCCAATGAATCTGATTTCCCAGATTAAGAAATGGGAGGCGGGCAACCTATCACTACTCCGACAAATTTATTTATTTTATTTTATTTATTAAACTTGTCCCCACCCATCTCCCCCCAATGGGGGACTCTGGGTGGCTTACAACG